ATGAATCTAGATCTGAATGTCATTACTAAAGCACTGAATCCTCTGAAAAAGAGATTCTCTGAGTGAAAATCTTGATATTGTGAGTATTGAGCTTGCTTCAACTGCAGACATCAAAATCATGATACAAAAGATTACACTCAGCATGCACAGTTAAGAGAAGCAAGAGAGTCAAAAAACTAGCAGAATCAGTGAGCTCAGAGACACTCACTGATATTCTATAAAAAGTCTTCAAAGTGAAAGAGATGCCCGTGTTAGATGACTCTCTGAATTCTGTGAATATCAAGAGAAAGCAGGCTTCTGACTGGGGTGCGGGTGAGGAAGTGAATACTCATCTCAATGTCTTAAGGCCTGAAATGTTAATGTATAAGAGGCACTTGAGTAAGAATCAAGAGATGACTGCAAAAGTATTAGCAGACACAGAAGCTTCTATACAATATATTGATAATTATATGATCTGAAGATTGAAAGAGGTTCACTGAGTGAAGAATCTCTGATGCATAAGATTATCTGATAACTGATATTTGATATTACCTGCAAAAGTAAGAGTTTCCATGCACTTCAGAGAATAATCTTGCTATATTTAAGCACAAGAGCTGCAGAACATGAAATACAATCTTATTCTCAGACTCAATTGATTTCAAAGATTCAATCTGCAGATTCAATGATGTACATGTTATATGCAGTTGACTGATAGAAAGAAAATGATTCATACAATTCTATTAACTGATATGAGAAGGACATTTCATGCTTCTGATATAGAAGAATTAAATCTGCTTATGCATTAACAAGTAAAGAGAACAATTTACAAGACCTCATCTGAAAGCATTCTGTATATCATACAGGATCTGAAAGCAGAGGAAATCAAGATAAAGAATATGTGAGAGGACAAGTGTATGAAGAAGCTTCTGAAGAAGCATAGAAAGATCTTTTAAACAGATCTTTCATCAGAATTGCTGCTGAAACAAGGATTCATACATGAGATTGACATGAAGAATGCAAAATCAGTCAATCAGAATGCATACTCTCTGTCACAAATGCATCTTGAAGAACAGAAGCATCAGATCACAGACCTTCTAGAACATGATCTTATATAATTCTTATCAAGTGTGTGAGGCTTTTCAGTTCTATTCATGAAAAAGATGAGTGAAAAGTGATGAATGTGTATCAATTATCAAGCACTCAACAAGCTTATAATCAAGAATGAATATTCACTGCCACAGATTCAATAACAGTTGAATACAGTCAAAAACACTCAATATCTATTAAAGGTTGATCTTCTCTCAGAATACTGACAGATCTGTGTAGATGAACTGTCAGTTCTGTGAACTGTGTTTAATATGCAATGAGAGAAGTTCAAATTCCTAGCAATATCATTTAATCTGATAAATGTGTCTGTCATCTTTCAAATGATGATGAATACAATTCTTTATAAACAGAATGAAACCTTATATCTTGTATATCTTGATAACATTCTAGTCTTTTCAAACTTATACAATGAACATTTGAAGTATCTTAATGAAGTGCTTACAACTCTGACAGAGTATAAGCTCTACATCAAATCAATTAAGTGTGTGTTTGAAATAGAAGAGTTGAAGTTCATGAGATATGTAGTGAGTGATGACTGTATACATCTCATCTCAGAGAAATTAAATGTCATAGTTAATTGACTGCAGCTGAGAAATGTACATCATGTATAACAGTTCTTTAAATTAATCTCATACTACTGCAGATTTATCAAGGATTTCACATGAATATCTGCATCACTCTCAGATCTCTTAAGAGAAATGAATACAAATCTGTGAAAGAAGAAGTTTCATTCAATTATCTGAAATGCTGTATGTGAAGAGGCTTTTCTCACACTGAGAGAATATGTAACAATATTCTCAGTACTTATTCAATCAGATTGTGATAAAGCTTTCTACATTGAGATGAATGCATCTGAATGAGCTATCAGAGACACTCTTCTACAGATGAGCAAGAATGGCAAGCTGCACCTGATGATATATGATGATAGAAAACTATCAGATGCTGAGCTCAATTACTCAGTGCATGAAAAGAAATTGCTAGTGATTAAGCATATACTGATGTTGTAGAATAGATATATCAATAACAGACATACAACAATGATGATCACAGATTATAAAAGCCTTATCTATCTACAATTAATGATAAAACCTTTCAAACACTTAGCATATTGAATCTCAGAGTTTTAAGTGTATGATCTTCATATCAAATACTGAAAGAGATTGAATGCTGTGATGCCTGATACAATAAGTCACAGACCTGATTTCATGAGTGAGAGTTCTGCAAATCAGGCACAAGAAATGTTCATGTTAAACACACTGAGAGGATGCAAGGAATCAGAATGAGTGAACATCATAATCTCTTGCTTGAAGAATGATAAGGTGTTGAATGATAAGTGTCTTGTGAAAGTAGTAGAAGAGATGCTTCTGAACTTCAAGCTGAGGAAATTGAAAAATGATGTTATGCTTTACTGCAATCTAGAATATGCAGAAGCTCCCTATCTAGAATCTTCATTTTGACATGACTTAGTGACTCACATGCATAAAGAATTCAGTCACTTAGAAAGCTCTGAACTTATGAGTGTACTTGAATCAAGAGTGTACTGATCAAGCATGACTGAGAATATTCAGATGTACACTCACAAGTGCCTGAATTATCAGATCATGAAAGAATCTAAGAAAGAATTAGAATGTGAGAAAGTATAATATCAGATGAAGTGTATAATACAACTGTTCAAATAATGAGAAGTGAACCTCATAGACATATTGTTATGAACATCAAATAGAAATTGATGAATAATCACTGCTATTGATTATGCTACTGACTAGCCAGTTGCAAAAGCAGTTTCAGAGATGATGAAGAAGATGATGATGAAGTTTCTACATAATGAGATCTATATCATCTATGAAATGCCATGTGAGATTCTAACTGATAACAGTGTAAATCTCATAGAAGAAGTGGTGAGGCATTTTATGAGTCAGTTACAGACAAGACATTGTAGAACAACATCATATCACCTGTGAATAAACAGGAAGATGAAATGCTTGAATGAAATCTTGAACAACATGCTGATGAAATATCTAGTGAGCAAGCCTATGAGATTATAAGATGAATATCTCAGACAGGTGCTATTAGTCACACAAATTCAGCAGCATGCAGTTACTAAGCATTCATCATTCTGCCTGTTGTATGAATTGCATCCATGCATCCCGGAGAATGCTTCGGAAAAGATGAGGAAGAAAACAGCAGTTATGAATGCAGCAGTCACAGACACAACAGTCACAGATGTGAAATCAAGATTGAAAGAGATCAGTCATGCATGTGTAAAAGCTAATGAGTTACTTCTGAACTGAGCAATTCAATTGAAAAGAATACAAGACTCACTTGTTAAGAAATTGAGTCTCAAGATGAAAATGTAAGTTCTTGTATACAATAAGAGTTCTGAGAAGTTTCAATCTAGATGATTTAAGCTATATAAAATACTCAAATCACATTCTCTGAGAATGTATGCATTGAAAGAATCAGAGGAATGAGTCTTATACAACTTAATCAATGATTCACAACTTGTGAAAACAAAGATATAAGACCTGAGTGAATTATGATTATCTACAGCACTATCATCAGTGTTGAAAAAGAAGAGACTTACAATTAAAAAGTCTCATGAAGTAAGAGAAATCATAGACACTTATGAATCAGATAATCTCACTTATTCTGATCTTTTCATGATTATAAGAAAAGAATGAGAAGAAATGAAGAAATCAGATAAATACCACACTTTAATAAGTAATGAGACTGTAGCTGATTATATGATAATATACTGTAGACAGTGAGTGCAATATAACAAAGAGTGATCTCAAAGTAGCAGACTTGTATATGAGTCAGATTGCAGAAGAAAAAGAAATTCAGAGTTAAATTTGACTGTTTATATCAGTTTAATCATGAAGATCACAGAGAATGAACTATCTGAAACATTTATAAATATGTGAGATTAAGTCATCTTAATCTCTGAGAACACTCAGAGATCAGATAAGATTAGTTTCAATGAGCTATTCACTGTAGTGATTTAAGCAGGCAAAGAGAGACAGTATAATGTATGAGACAGAATTATAAAAGATGAAAGCTGCTGAATCTAGTCACTGAACACTGTATTATATAGAGGTTGTATAAGAGTAGTGACTAGCAGATAAAGAAAAAGTGTAAGAAAAGAGATAATGAATTGATCATCAACTGTAAGAATCAGTTGTAAAAGACAAATATTATTATACACACTTCATTCATTTTCATACACTATATATTTAATCTATTTCCAACATCACATCACCTGAAAAACATCAAAAATAAAGAAAATCTCAAAACTTGAGATCTGTAAGAGATTCAAGAGCTGCAAGCTGCTCTTGTAACAATGCTGTATATATCTCTGATTTCTCTATCACTCTGCATATGACATTAATGTCATTTATCACAAGATTGACTGAAATGTCAATATAGGAATGCGCATGTGTACACATAGAGAAATTGAAGAAGAGCACAGAACCCGCAGGACCAGAAGCCAGAGCAGAGAAGATGAAGATGAAAGAAATAGAAGAAGAAGAAGACACAGAACTGAATAAATAATGATGAGAGTCACTCAGAACTGAATGCTTACAACTCAGTATGTATACAACCTTTCTCACAGGGAAGGAAAAGGAAGAGAAAGCAACAGAAAAAGCTTGAGAGTGAGAGAGAGTAGTCTCAGCAGCATTGTCATCTTTGATCAGAATGATCTCTGACATCAGAGTAACTAAGAATCATTGTTAGCATACAAAAATCACAAAAGCAGAGATAACAATTATCAAATGAACACTCACTGGCCTTAGAATTGTATGCATAATTACAACACACACAAGGCTTCTCAGAAAGAGAGAGAGAGACATGAGGAAATACAGAAAGTAGAACATAGTATGTGAACAGCTTATTTTCATAATAACACTTCAGACAAGATGTATGAGCCTCACATCTGTGAGTGTAAAAGAGTATAATATTCATGTTTCTGTTTCTGAAAACACAGATATTCTTCACCTGCACTATGAAGTCAGATGATAAATATCAGAGAATAGACTGATACAGGTTGATCATTCTGAAGATATTTATTAGAGCAGATGTACTCATAATATTGAATTTAATGATTATAAAAAGTTTCTTAATGTCTGTGAATATCATGACTTCATGTACAGTAAAACTCATAACAATTTCTTCTAAGAACAGAAAAATCAGTGTCAGAAAGAAAAGATGAAAAAGAAAAAGACTTATAATCTCAATACTGTTGAGAAAGAAAGTGATTCTCTGATATGAATGAATAATTGCTTTATCATGAATATTTAAAATAAATATAATAATCAGTGTCTGTGACTGAGCTTCAGATAGTTGTGTTGTACACAGTCTTCATACAATAAATTATTCTGAGAGTCAGTAAGAAGGACAGAAGTATATACACTGAGAGACATGATTCATTAAGTTTATATAACATCTCCTTGAAATGAGAAGAGCTGATAATGAACACAGAGACAGTAAAATCAGAAGTAGCAGAAGTGAGAGTCACAGGAACAGAGATAGTGAGAGAGGAACCAGGCACAGAGACAGATGTAGAAGATTGAGAGAAAGTGACAGAGAAAGAAACAGAGAGAACAGAGAGAGACACAGAAGATCTGATTATATATGATACAGACAATTTCTTCATTATCACATTCTTCAAGTTCTCAATCAATGATTCAACACTGAGTTCACTATTATCAGCAGATGCAGATCTGTCAACATGTGAAGATTCTACATGAATAAAAACAAACATATCAGCATCTGTGTTCATGTAAAATTGTGCCAGAAAACACAATCAGAAACCTGCTGAAGGAAATGATCAAAGGCATACAAGAAGATGAAGAAGATGTGTCATCATTCATGATAATACATTGTTCTGATAATTGTTAGAAGATAAACAAGTCCTGATCATATTTCACAACACATTATACTTACTGCTAATGAACTGTCTGATATGAGCACTACAATGATGCTTGTTATGAGAATGAAGAATCATTGCCAGGAACATGTACAATGTGATAGATGAACAGATGAAAAGAGTTGAATAGAAGAAAGAGTAGAAATCTTGAATGAGATGATAACATTTAATGATGACAATGATGAAGATGATAATTGAAGAATGAGAAAAGTTAGTGAATGAGTGATATAATATAGTGAAAGTTTCTTTGTGAGAGTGTACATGAAACACTAGCCGAATCAGGAATAGGTCATATGATTATGAAATGCTAGTGGCAAGCTAATCCACATGAAGCTAGAGTGTATGACATAGTCACATTAGTGTGACTGAATCTGATGAGAGAGGATGTGATTCAGAAGAATGTACAACTGTTGAATAATAATGTGGCTGCTTTCAAACTACTAGTGTACACAGCTGCTTCCGAACTACTAGCGTACGTGTACGAGTGTAAAGGGGCCATAGCGTATGCTAATTAATTTAGCGTACAAGATTACAATATAAGAAGCCGGCGTACGCCTGTAATCGTACGCTGGCTTAAGCAACCTTTGAATCACAGAAGAATGACTTCATCTGATCTTCACAGACCTTTACAGAAGTCTCTGTGATGTTTGTGAAGAAGAAGAATGAAGATCTCAGATTGTGTATAGATTATTATAATCTGAACTTCAAGATAATAAAGAGCTGCTACTCTCTGTCTCTGATTAAGAATGTGATCAACTGTCTTACAGAAGCTGTCATATTCACACAACTGAATATAATCAATACATATATATAGCTGTAAATACAGTCTGAGAATGAATAAAAAACTGTCTTTAGAACTGCACTGAGATTGTTTGAATATCTAGTAATGTCTTTTAATCTGACTAATGTCTCTGCAGCATTTCAGTCTTTTATCAATAAAATACTTTGTGTATATCTGAATGTCTTTATAATAATATATCTGAATAATGTGATGATATACTTTACAAAGAAAAAAGAACACACTGAGCATGTATGAAGTATGTTGAAGGTCTTAGATAAGACAGAACTGTATATTAAGCTTGTAAAGTGCAACTTCAGTGTCTATCAGATTAATTTCCTAGAATATGTAATCACTGCAGATGATATTCAGATGAAATCTTCACAGATTGAGACTATTCTATTATGATCAGAGTTAACTAGTATTCACAAGATTCAGATCTTTCTGAGCTTTGTGAATTTCTATAGACAGTTTATCTTTGTATTCATGAGAATCTTCTTAGCTCTTACAGACATACTGAAGAGTGAAAATAAGAAGAAGTCATTTCATAAATAGAGAATGAAAAGATTATTAAGAAAAGAGAACTGTAAGAACTTTCTTATCTCAGAAGCTCATAAGATCTTTGTAAGATTAAAACAGATATTCATAGATACAGTGATACTGTTTTACTTTAATCTCTTACTCTTAATTAGATTAAAGATAGATATCTTCTTCTTTATAATTTCAGAAATAGTCTTGTAACTACAGTTAAATAAGAACTGAGTTTCAGTGATCTTTTTCTTATGAAAGATACAACTTATGAAGATCAACTATAACATTCATAATCAGAAGCTTCTTATAATAGTGAAATTCTTTTATCACTGATATCACTACTTCAAGAGCCTTATAACAGTGATTACTATTAGAACTGATTATAATAGCTTATAATAGTGTACTTCAATTAAGAAACTCTCACAACAGCAGGTTCACTGAGCTCAGAGACTGAGTGAGTTCTGATTTAAGATAGAATATATCAAGAAAACTAAGAACTCAGCAGACAGACTCTCTCACAGATCAGACTATGTTAAGAAGATCAGAGTGACAGACACAGAGAGACTAGAAAAGACAGAAAAGCTTTGTAAGATGCTCAGACTGAGTGTTATGAAGAGATTGACTGAAGAGTCTCTCAATCTCTCATAAGAGAAGAGAAGAGAGGGAGAGAAAAAGCCTGTATAACTACTCTCTATAACACTGAGAGTTAACACTCTGAAAATCTCTGTGAGAATTCTTGAAGAGAGTATCTATAATCTGAAGAGTTTGCAGACTTTGAGAAGTGCTGTGAAAGACCTGATGTAAGAAGAAACAGAGTATAAGTCTTTATAAGATCTTCTATTAAGATTATCTGAACTGCAACTGAAGAATGAATATGCTCAGTATATTCAGAAACTGCTTACAGCAGAGATCAATTCTGCAGAAATAAAGAATTAAAGAGACTTAAATAATCTCTTATAAAGAGAGAATCAGATTTATATACCTGTAAATGAGTTTCTATATATAGAACTTATTAAAAGATATCATAACTCTTCTCTAGCAGATTATTTTATAGATACTAGAACTCATGAGTTGTTTATAAGAAAATACTTCTAGCTGAAGATACAAGAACTTGTGAAGAAGATAGTGAATTCTTATACTATTTATCAGAGTTCACAGATAGTGTAGTTCAGATTATATGAAGAACTTACTTCTCTATTCATCTCACAGAAACCTTGAAAACAGCTAGAAATGAATGCTCTTATAAGTCTCTCTGAAAGTAAGAATATATATAATGCCTGCTTTGACAGTGTGCTGATGATAGTGAATCACTTCATTAAGATAGCACACTTTATACTCACTTGTAAGAACTTAAAGTCAAAGAATTTGACTTATATCTTCATCTGTGATGTGATTCAGTTGCATGAGTTATCTGTGAACATTATCTCAGACAGAGAATCAATCTTTATAAAAGAGTTCTAGTCTGATCTGATGACTATACTGAAGATCTCACAAGATCTAAGCACAGCTTTTCATCAATAGACAGATGATCAGACAGAATGTCTGATAAGTATATTGAAATAGTATCTACAGTGCTTTATTAATTACAATCAGAATAACTGAGTGTATTAATTATCACTTACAGAGTTTATATACAATAACTCAAAGTATGTCAGCACAGATAAAACTCTCTTTGAGATACTCACTGAGACTTATTCACAGATGATCTTGATGAATCTGTGAGAGTACACTATAGAGTGTAATGATACTCATGAATGAGCTGAGAGAATTCAGAAGATCTGAGAGAAAGCCTGTAAATTCTTGAGAAAGACTCAAGAGTATCAGAAGAGATACTATGACTTCAAGCATATTATAAAGAGTTTCAAGAAAGATAATAGAGTCTGACTGAGTCTAGAAAACATCATCACACAGAGACTCAGTAAGAAGCTGAATCTCTTGTAGACAGAGTCTTATAAGATTATAAAGAAAGTTAGTTCATAGTTCTACAGATTGAAACTGTTATCTGAGTTGCAGATATATAATGTTTTTCATATCTCTTTACTCTGTGAATATAAGAAATTCTCAGAAGAGAATTCTGTGACTCATCACTCTGTTTACAAAGTACTAGAGAGTGAAAGAGAATATCAGGTCAAAGAGATTATTAACTCAGAGAAGCAAGATCATGAGCTCTGATTCAAGATTCAGTGATAAGAGTATTCTGACAAGATGAATAAGTTCACTTAGAAATCATTCAGACAGATAAGACATCTGCAGAAGCTGAGACATAACTTTCATACTGTGAATTCTGATAAGTCAGAATGATATAATCTTCACTAAGAACCTGGTTATGATAAAGATATTAACACTGTCATTTGTGAATTCTAGTCTATAAGATAATGAGTTTCTACTGAGATAAACAGTCTGTGATATATATAAGAGAAGAAGAAATCATATTCTCATTAAAGTTAAAAAACAGAAAATAAACAGGGCTATGAACACAATTTAGAGATTAATAAAGAAAAAATAAAGAAAACTCATATTCACATTCTCAACATCTGTAACACTCAATTTCCTCATAACTATCAATTTTCTTCTTCAAAGAAGCAGAGAGTATTATACCTGCAGTACAGACAATTATTACATTTGATATGAAGATTATCAGAAATACACAGACTTCAGAGAAGTCAGACATCAGAATATATACAGTTGTAGCAGAGTCTTGAGAGCTGACTGTCTGCACATGTGATCAGATATCTCTTATAAAGCTGTGTCTACTCTCTCAGTTATACTGAAGTATTCAGCCTGAAAACAATTGAAATATAGAGAGAGAACTCATCTGCTCAGACTAACTCTCATTGTGAATTCATGATATTCACATTGTCTTGATTATCTGAATTTTACAGGTACTCAGAGACTCATCTCTCATTGACAATGAGATTGTAGAAATGCACTGTGACATGAGAATCATTGATCAGAAATCTAGACATATTCACATATATCTGATCAGAGATTGTGTGAGCAGAGAGAGAGTGATCATAGGCTCACAGAGCTGCAGAAGACACTAGCAACATCAGAAGCTTTATAAGAACTGTCAGCTAAAGTCTGTAAGAAATTACTTATAAGAAGACTTACAGTAAAGAGAGAGACTACACTGCTTAGAGTCAGAGACTGATCTGAGAAAGAGATGAGATAAGTCACTGACTTGAAGATCAGATGCAGTAACAGAGCTGAGAGAGATGAAGATGCAATCATGAGAAGTGACATCTCTGCTTCATCAGCTAGTAAAAAGTGATCAGAGAAGTTACAGAAACACTCATAAGAAGCTCAGCAGTAATCAGACATTATTTATAAAGATATTGAAATTGAAAAAATTTTTATTCTTGAGAAGTTCTTGAATTAATATACAGACATTGTTAGAAATACTCTCTCTCTGTTATCTGAATAAAAATACTTCACAGATGAATGAGAATACTCACAGTTTATAAAGATAAGAGCTGTTATAGAAAAAGAGAAAGAAGATGAGAT